AAAATAAACAAAAATATTACATTAAGTCAGTAGCCATTATCACTCTGTAAGTTGTACATAATATTAGGGTAGAAAAATAGCCCCATGTCATCTACATCTTGCCTGTGGCTTAATTACCCTATATAAATAATTCAAATGGTGACTAGCAGATATTTATTGAACACTGAAAATTCAAGGTACTGTGTTGGGTGATGTAGGGAATGCAAGGAATTTAGTCCCAGACCTCCAGCGTTCACAGATAAGATATATAAAAATACCTTTTAAACAAGGAAGAAAGTAAATGCCAAGGATAGATTAAAAAGGCTCTGGGTATTCAGAGGAGGGAGAACTTACTTCTCTGTATTGAAGATAATCTAAGACTTGGTGAGGAAGATCATTTGTTCCATATGGGCCAGATTTATGCCACAGGAAGGCATGCATTTTAAGTGTTTTTTTCTGCCACAACCAGTTGACAGGTCATGTTTACATACCATCACATAAGAGTGGCATGCACTTCCTAGCACACTTTCTCTAATGGTACCTTTTTTTTCTTCTTAGTCACTGTGCAAGTGACCGACATTATTCTACAATAATCTTGAATCTGCTCCGATTTATATGTCTTAAAAAGTAAATCAAGTATGAGTTTTGATATTTTTACTATTATTAATAACAAACCACCTAGCAAGCTTCTTTGTACAGTACCTAATATGTTGTTGATTCTTCTTAGTATATATTTGTTGACTGATATGACACATATATAACGATAAGTGATGTCAGTGTTTTCTTTCAAGAGAGTCTGCTTCTCTCCTCTGTAGTAAGAACTTTGTTTCTGTTCTAGTACAGATTATGCTTTCCTGACATCCTTTTATGCTCCCTTGTCTGACTTCCCATTGAAATGATTCTGGTGTTGATGCCTTTCTGTTGCTTAATCACCGTTCCATGGAGCAAAAGATTCAGGTGCTTTTTCATCATGTCAGAATTCTCCCATGAAGAGTTTTTTTTCCCCCTGTTGTTTTGTGTTTTTACCTGATTACTATGTGTCCACAGAATCATACATTTCTTTACTTACTTTTTCTGTCAATGAACAATTGAACATTTTAAAAATAGATTATATGTAGATGGGTGTTTCTCAGTTTCTATAAGTAGGTTGATTATATTAACTTGACTCAACTCTATACAAATAATTCTTACATATGTGTAAGTGATAAATCTTCCTAACTTGAGTTTCCAGCTTTGTGCTGCATATCTCCATGTGCCCCTCAAGCACCTTGCCTTCGCCATGCTGTAGTGGATACTGTTGGTGCCCTGTCCAGATCCCCTGTACTGGCTGTGCCCCTCTTTCAACTGAAAAATTGGCCTTGGCTAAATGGGAGGTGCATCACCAGGAGGACTATGTGCACCCTCCCCTCCTCCCCACTTCCCCAACAGGGAAGACCAGGGCCAGTGATAAGGGTGTAAGAAGCTGGCCTCCTTGCCTCAGGGTGGGATCAACTCTGGTACAATTAGTGCTTGCCCATGGGACTAGGCTGAAGCTGATCTCCAGGTGAGACCACATTCTTGCCTGGCTTTTTCCCCTGCCTATTTCTGTTTCCCTTAATACCTCTTTCCTGAGAGTAATACTTATCAATTGAACATGAATCCTTATCTCAGGCTTCGCTTAGAATATGACTTAAGACACATGCCAAAATTGGCTTTATCAACTTCTCCATAAACCTATTTTTTTTTCTGTGTTTCCAGCTTCTAATAAATGGTACCATCTTCTGACTCTCAATCTAGAAATCTGGAGGTCATCTTTGACCCCTACCTGTTCTTATTTGTCAGAGGTTCTCAAAACTTTTGGTCTCTGAATGTCTTTCCACTCTTAAAAATTACCAAGGACATCAAAGAACTTCTGTTTATGAGGTGTATATCTATCAATATTTACCATATTGGAAATTAAATCAAAGAATTTTAAATACTTGAGAAGGTACTTCAAAAAAGTTCAAGGGAAGATTCACATTATCTTTTAATTCTGTTATTCCACAAACTTTTAGAAGTACCTTTGTATTAATTTATTTCAGAACAACAATATAAATCCAGTACAGATTAAAGTAAAGCATATTTTAATATAAAGTAACTATATTTCTAAATTAAAAAGTTAGCACAATGGCATTGTTTTACATTTTTTCAAATCTCTTTAGTATCTGGCTTAGTAGAGGTTGGCTAAACTCTGATATTTGAGTCTGTGTTACCTGTTGCCCTATTGCAAATCATGTAGCCTCTGATAAACTCCACTGCATCTCATGAGAAAGTGGGAGTGAGAAAGGCAAATCACGTCTCGCATGACATGAAAACAGCTGTGGTGTAGCAGACCCTGTGAAAAGGTCTTAAGCTTTGGGTCACACTTTGAGAAACTCTTCTGTGTATCAATTCATAAACAAGTCCTGTTGATTTTGCCATGAAATATTTAGCAATGTAGTTAACCACATGAACTTCAAACTCTCACAACCTGGGTTAAGATTGCAGGCAGAATTCTTCCTCTCATGCCATTCGGTTCGCCTTTGATTTAAAGGAATTCATACTAAGGAATCATTTATAATATTTCATATCATACTTCCCAAGAATAGCAATAATTTAGGTTCCCAAAGATGACAATAACTGAGACTCTTGTGTATTAATATATAAAACTTTAGAGCATCGTTAATCAAGCCTTATTGTTTTCCCCTGAGAAAAAATTCTAATCTATGTCAGGTTTTAGGGCCTTCGTTATTATCAGAGAGTCCTAATAAGCTGTGTTAATCAGCCAGCTTTACCATGATTTGTGTCACCACAAGTGGGTGGACAGCAAATCTGAGCTTTGTCTTTACTCCTTCTCTTGAAAAATTGAAAGCAGTTGCTCAAAGATTAATGAGGACAGAGTTCTTCCAGGTTAATTCACATTGGCTAATAATTAAATTATGTCTAACTCTTGAGAAAGTATAGGTGGACTTAGTCTCATCAATTTTTCCTTGCCTTGAAATTTTCTATCCCCTTGCCCTCCATTCCCTCCAGCCAAAAGAAATCCTTGCTTGTGACATAGGAAGTCTAAACTTTTCAGTTGAAGATAGAATTTTATGTTTGAATTGAAGAGTATTTTTCTGTGTTAATAACTTTTAGACAGATCATTGATGGTAATGTGCATTCTTACATGTTTGGGGAAAAATACCTGTCAAATAAAAACTCAAATTTTCATCAGTCCTAATCACTTTTTTATAAGTGATGTAATGAGAACTGCCATTAGAGAAGCAATTGTTTTTATTTATTTTTAAAATTTGTACTTATTTTTGAAAAGGTAATGTCATGTAGAATAAGGCTTAGCTCATTTGCTATTTTATTTATTCATACATAAAACATTTTCTGGGTTTCCAATATAACTGGGTATGATGCTGGTACTAGGGGCATGAAAATGATGGACCTTTATCTTTAACAGGATTGCTTGTTTGTTGCTGTTTTTCCCCCTCTGGTAGATTATAAATTGTTTTCTTTTTTTCTATAACAGTGCTATCCAAGAAGAGTTTCTAAGTTAAAGGAAACGTTCTACGTCTGTGGTCCAATATGATAGCCACTGGCCACGTGTGACTATTGAGCATTTCAAATGTGGCTAGTGTGACTGAGGAACTGAATTTTTAATGTTATTTAATCTTAATAAATTTACATTTAAATAGCCATATATGATGAGTGGCTACTGTATTTGACAGTGCTCTTCTATATTGTCTTTAACGTCATCAGAAAGTGGTAACAGTTGAATTACATAGATTGTTACTTTTGTTATTTTATTCTTATAGGAACCTATTTTCAGAATTTTACTTATAGATAACTGTAAACAAGGCACTCACTGAGTCTTCCTTAAAATTAAACTATAATGTTTTTCAGAGTTCGATTAGAAGATGAACAAGTTCACTTTTTCCTTTTTTTTTTTTTTTGTCTTTTTCCGTGTCCGGCAACGGATCTCAACCCTCAGTGTCGCTCTCAACCCTCAGTGTCGCCCCCGTACCGGACCGGGACCGGCAACGGGACCGCAACCCTCGGCGTTGCCCCCGCGCCTCGCTCAGCCAGTGAGCGGGAACCGGTCCGTATGTGGGATCCGAACCCTTGCGGGAGCGCCGCCGCGCTTCCCAAGCGGCGCACTGTAGCAGTGCGCCACCCGGCCAGCCCCACTTTTTCCTTTTTAATGCAATGTAAAGATTGCTTCAAGGTGCATTGTAATGAATGAATCACTGTCATTAGTCTCTGTGTTCATTTTGATTGTAAAGCTCAGTCTCTTATCTTCATGTGTTGAGTGGGCAAGGCTACCATTCAGGATGATGAGGGCAACAGCTAGTGGTAAGGATTGAACAGTCAGTGATGATTTTCTGCAGTTGTGCAAGGGAGTAAGTGGAACACGTGGAATCTGTAGGATTCGAGATGCAAGTCCTTGCTGATTTAGAGGAGGAGCATCTGGTGCAGTTACCATAAGAAACTTTGGTGAAGATACTTGGCACATAGGATAAATAAAAGGATATGCCAAGTGGGACTTATCCTAGAAAGTATCCCATCAGAATTATATTTGAAATCATGAAGAGAAGGGGATTATAAAAACTTTTCATTAATTTAAAAACTAATAACCATAACAACTAATATAAATGGCATAACGTATGCAGCAGTTGTTATAGTAAGAATGATCTAGTCAGGATGAAAATATAATGACTGGACGTTTTCAGATATGCATGCTATTTTTAATACTCATAGTTCAACCTAATGATGTCAGATCTTTGTTCTGAGGAGTAAAATTGAGCAATTTTAAGAGTCCAAGGGATCATTGATTAGAAAGGGATAGCACAGGCTTCTCAGGAGAGGAGTATTGCCACTGGCCTGAAATCCAGCTGTCATGTGTAAGGGTCTGTTGGTTGATTCTGTGTCTTGCACTTACTTGCTCTGTGACTTTCCACGTGCTTCCTTCAAGAGACGAGTTCTCTCTGACTGACCTTTTATTGATGCCCTGAAAATTTTTATTTCTCTCTAGGGTGAGCCCATCACTTTCTGTGAGGGGAGTTTTGTAAAGCACCGCTCAAGTGTGATGAAACAGTTTTTGGAAACGGCAGTTAACCTCCAGCTTTTTAAACAGGTAAGAGTGGACTTCCACATTTTTCTTCTGTTACAGAACATTGTCATTGTTACATGTTTTTATCACTGTAAACCCATGTCCTAACTAAGTGATACCTTCTCTTGAATTTCAGGAATTTTTTTTCCTTTTGTAACTCTATAGCTAGCTATGTCATAGCATTCCAGAAATACTATGTCAGAAGCTTGCTATTAAAACATTGCTCATCAAAGTTGTTAAGTTTAAGGTCTCACTGAGGAAGGGTATACATTCACAGAAGAAAAAGCAGCACGGCGTGGAGTTACTTTGGTATGGTAGATTGATATGGTAAACAAACTAACCATATTTTTTATAAGACAGTCCCAGTGTAACCAGTTTATAAAATAATTTATAGAATGAATATTTAACTTTTTAAGCTTTGTAAGACTTTTTATAATCATAAGTTTCAAATTCAAAAAAGAATTCACAGTTATACTGTGTGTTCTGATTTTTGGTTCAGAAAATATAATTGCCCTATCAAGAAAGCAGTAGCTTGACATTAGACTCCAGAAATTTTAGATGCACTGGCTCTTTCATCCCATTGTATGGCCATATCAAGTCTCTTAAATTGGATTCTCTTAGTTTCTGTTTACATAATTTAAATTAAGTTCTTAACACTTGCTTTTCTTATTCCACATGACAATTTTAAGTGCAAAAGTTAGCTATGTGAATTCAGCATTTAATGAAGATCTATAGTGTGTCATAAACTGTGCTCAGGCCCAGGATACAAACATGAATCAAAATTCAGTGATGTTGTTTAGAAGCTGACCATCAAGAAGAAATTTCTTTGAACTGTTAGGAGGAAAGAAGCCACGTAACTCAAAATAACTTTCAAATTAGGTCAGTAAGGAAATCAGCTGGGCAACAAATTAATACTACTATCTATATACTGAGGAAGTTTTAAAATCTAATAATCTGAGACTAGAAAATACTCTGTGGGGATATAAGCTATTTTCCAATAAGTGAAGTTTTGCCTTAAGGAAAGGGTTAAAGTTATTTTATACACAAACGTAAGGAGCGTGGATTTCAGCATCAGAGATGTCTGGTGGATTTTTAAGGATGGAGTGGGTTACTTTTGGAGCTTACTGTCCCTAGAGGCGTCCAAGCATAGACTGCATTACTTCCCAGGGTTGTGAGGAGGACCAAGTGACAGTGCTTTACAAACACTGAAGTACAGCACAGTGCAGTCCCAAGTTAGTCATCCAGTGCATGCTCTTTGAGTTAAGTGTTAGTACCCTTTTTGTATTTTTACCTATCAAGATGAGATAGTACTACCTTCCATTATTAAAACTGAGTTGTGAAGATTAAATTATATGGTAATCAAGGATTGAATGTGAGGGTAGAATATCTAACTTTTTATTTCCCTTTGATCATGAAATTCTGTAACTAGATTCTGATTATTTGATAAACTTAATAAAGCATAGTCAATTTTTTTGCAGTTACAAAAGGCATTTATTTTTTAGGAATCATGTAGAGTTGGGTTAAATCTTGACTTTATGACTTAATAGCCGTTTGTTCATAGGTACATTTTTTTTCTTTAAAACAGAAATATTACCACCCACCTTGCAGGTTGATAAAAGTTTATGTGAATTAATACACGTACATTCTCAGAACAGTGCATGGAACTTTGCAGATGCTCAGTAAATTTTCCTGTCTGCTTCATTCTTAGAGAAATTACATTACAAAATTCTGATCTATGTAGGGTTTTTTAAAGTGTAACTTGATCAAAAAGGCTAAATGTAATATATAAAAATGGTCAATCAATGTAGAACGATTATATGAACAACTTGCATAGTTTTACATGTACAAATTGACTGTCTTCTAGAACTTGATGTCATTTTATGACTCTTAAGACAGTGATACTTGAAGATAGTCCTGAAAAGGTTTAAAAGATTCTTGTTGGCCATTTAACAAACTTCTAAAAGAAGAGTCCATTGGTAAAAAAATCATCAACACAGAATTCTCAAAGATACTACAGATATGGCTGAAAGAATATAAAAATATTTATTAGGTACAAATGATTACTGTTCATGACGATGATTTTGTGATCTGTTATGGGTCTAGAACTACTCACATTCTCTTACTTAGCAAAGGTTATGCTTCAAAATCAAGAGAACTTGGATCCAGGAGAGCAGCACGTATTTTTAAGGGAAGAGTTAAAGTGATTCTTATTTCTGGTAATATGGCAGGATAGTATCCAGAGATAAACCTACGTTCCAAAACAATTTACGATGCAGGATTTAAAAAACTTCTAGTGAGGGGGCACAGGAGAAAAAGCCCAGTGCTTACTTTCGAAGATGAGAAATGTTGTAGAAGACCCTACTCCCATAAATCTGGGAATACTTAGTGTAAAAGAAAACAAGAAAGAAAGGTGCTCCTTCCTTCAACCCATTTCCTGGGGATCTGTAATGAAGCTCTTACATCCAAGGCACTAGTGCTGGGTGGAGGCGAGGGAAAAGTGCTGCTAAGTAACCACACACCAGCCTGTGCAGGAATTTGAAGCTTGAGTTAATAATTTCTGATTTGATCTGACAAAATTTAAGCCGAGTTTAACGTGATCCTAAATTGTTAGTGCCCCAGACCCCAGGCAGAAGCAAACACACATCCCATCTAGAGGAACCCACCTTTATCTAGGCATCAAAAAATTCTCCTAGTGAAAATTCCAAAGGAACATTTCACTGTTAAAAATCATTAAACATAAAAGGACACAAACCATGAATGACAGCTAGCAGAAGCAACAGACAGAAACTGACTCTCAAAGACTTTTAATATTGGAATTACAGGAATCAGAAATAGAAAATAAAATAGCATGTTTAAGATGTTGAAAGAAAGAAAAATTAAGCCTTGAAAATGTTCAGGGAACAAAAACTTTAAAGAATGCAAAGCCATTTTTGAGAATGTAGCAAATAAACTGTTGTTAAGGAAGCATATAGTTGAAATTTATGGGTTTAACTGAAGATCAGATCTAAGTGAAGAGAGATTTGCTGAGCTGAAGATATATCTGAAAAAGAAATTATTGTATTAGTCCATTTCTGTTGCTTTTAACTAAATAAACAGAACTGAGTAGTTTATAAGAAAATGTAGTTTATTGCTTACAGTTTCAGGGGCGTGGAAGTCCAAGGTCTAGGGAACACATCTGGTGAAGGCCTGGGTGGTCGTGACGGTGATGCAGGGGTCTCACATGGCAGATTATGGCGGAGCAGAGAGAGCGAACTTCTCATTTACTCTCTTTTTAAAGCCCTCCAAACCACACCCCTGACCACCGTTATTAATCCAGTCACTACTGCATGGTCCTACAATTAGTCACCTCTTCAAGCCCCACCTTTCAATTACTGTTATAGGATTTCCCACCATCAACATTTACAGTGAGAATTAAGCTCAGGGAGGTTGGGTTGAGGGGAGCAACCAATCTACAGCAGGTATGGAGAGACAAAGAAATAGAAAACATAGGAGGTTGATAGACATGGAGGGGGTAGAGTGAGAATATCTACAGTCTGTGTCATCAGTTCTAACAGAGGAAGACAGAAAATGGAGCCGAGATATTAGTTGAAACGATAGTGCCAGGACCAATGACACACACCAATTTTATTTATTTTATTATTTTATTTTATTTTATTTTTGTCTTTTTCATGACTGGTAAAGGAATCGCAATCCTTGGCTTGGTGTCGTCTGCACCGCGCTCAGCCAGTGAGCACACCAGCCATCCCTATATAGGATCCGAACCCACGGCGGGAGCGTCGCTGCGCCCCCAGCGCCGCACTCTCCCGAGTGCACCATGGGGCCGGCCCACACACACCATTTTATAAATTTAATAAGTCCATCATATCCAATCTGAATAAAGAAAAAGAAATCTACACCCACATACAGTATATTCAGCTATAAAACATTAAAGAAAGAGGAAAATTTAAAAATTAACAGGAGAAAAGATATTGCCTTCAAAGCAGCTACATGCTGATAGCTGACTTCACATCAGCGACCGTGGAACCCAGAAGATACTGGCATGATATCTCTAATGTGCTGAGAAAGATACCTAGAATCCCGTGCCAGATAAAACACCTGTTAATTATAAGAGTGACATGAAAACATTTCCCAACAAAAGCTGTTTTCCCCTTGTGTTGGATTTGTTCATGTGTCCACTAGGCTAGGCTACTGTCCTATTCAATCAAATACTAACTTGAGTTTTGAAATGTAGGGATTTTACAGATATAATTAAAGTCCCTAATTCTTTGATTGTAAGCAAGGAAGATTATCATAGATAACCTGATTGGTGGGCCTATCTGAAAAACTTACAAGGCCTTAAAAATAGGACTGAGGTTTCCCTGGGAGAGAGAAGAAATTCCACCTGTGGACAACAGCTTTGGCCCTTGCTAATGGGTTCAAGTCTGCCCATGATTTTCCATTACTGACTGCCCGTCTCATGAATTTCAGACTTGTTTAGCCAGCCTCCACAATCATGTAAGCCAGTTCCTTGTCATAAATGTCTCTGTGTGTGTGTGTGTGTGTGTGACATACTTAAGGAAGTAAACTAAAGAAGTACAGGTTGAGCACCTCCAATGCAAAACCCCAAATCCGAAATGCTCCAAAATTTGAAACTTTTTGAGTGCCGGCACAACGCTCAAAGGTGATTCTAGAAGAAAACGCTCATTGGAGTATTTTGGATTTTGGACTTTTGCATTGGGGTGCTCAACCTGTAAGTGTACTGGTAAATATTTCAAAATAAAAAAAAATCCAAATTGGAAAACACTTCAGGTCCCAAGCATTTTGAATAAGGGATACTCAACCTATACTTGAGGGAGAAAGACAGTTGTCCCAGATGTCTAAGATGGAAGGTCTGAGATCCAAGAATGAAGGAAGAGCAAAACAAGTGGTAAATATGTGGATTAAATTTAACCAGTATTGACTGCATAAGACAGGCAAGTGTTTCCACATGTTCAAGAATCAAATGGTTCTCATTCAAATTCCAAAAGCATTCCTGTTTTGTGTAT